GAAAATGGTATACAGAGTGTTGTTTTTAAGTGGACCATTAGAAGTATCTCAGGAACGGTTTGGAATTTTGATTCGGGGCCCATTACCTTTTTTGAATAATCGATCAAAAGGAATCATGTTTTAAATATGGCCACTTTTCCGGTTGTATCGGAACGATCGATACTGGAATTTTCTTATTTCAAATGGCACTATCTTTTCTGATGGCATTTCTGAATTCCTCATACAAAATCAGTATGGTTTTGTTAATATGATGCTATGTTAACTGACATGGTTTCGAAGTTACTTGACATTTTTTCACAGTTTCAGAGGTTCAGTAAATTAGCCATATCACTGTCGTCTGACAGGTTAGCGAAATGTTTTTTTCACGAATGGACAGCTAAAAATCCACGCTATTAAATGTTATTGGTCGATTTTCAAATGTGATTCGAAAATAATACAAATAATCGTTCAAATTTTCTGTTTCTTTAAACATTTTGAAGTTGTCCAATATTGGTGTTATTGCTGTATGGACAATAAAGATTATTATTATTATTATTATTATTATTATTATTATTATTATTATTATTATTAAATTTGACAATCGGTTTTTGGTAAAAAACTTAAAATTTTCAAATGGAATCCTTATCTTAACTATGTATCAATGGAAAAAAAGTACGTTTTTTATGCTCTTACCATTGATGCATAATAAAGATATGGTTTCCATTGCAAAATTTGAACGCTTATTCGTATTATTTTCGAATCACATTTGAAATTCGGACCAATAGCATTTGGTAGCGTGGACTTTTAGCTGTCTATGCGTGAAAAAAACATTTTGCTAAGTTATCAGACAACTGAACCTCTGAAACTTTGAAAAAATGTCAAATAACTTCGAAACCATGTCAGTTAGACATATTAACAACAGTCATACTGATTTTTTCTGAGTAATTCGAAAATGGCATCAGAAAAGATAGTGCCATTTGAAATAAGAAAGTTCCGGTACCGTTCTGATACAACAGGAAAAGCGGCCATCTTGAAAATATTTTTAAATGATTCCTTTTGACCGATTATTCAAAAAAGGTAATGAGCCCCGATTCGAAATTACAAACCGTTCCTGAAATACTTTTAATGGTCCACCTATAAATACCACCCTGTATAAAAGTTGTGTATTAAAAAAAATGTATAAATGGTGCTTATTCATTTTCCTGATATGGTATGGATATTATTTGTTTGGTTAAATATACAAGCATGAAATTGTGGTAAAGAATGTACTTACTAGAGAAATGGAAACGAAACAGGTAACTGGTAAATGCTAACAGGTGAAGAGACAGAACGGGGGCTGTTTTTTAAAGAGCTGTTTATTTTTGGAAGCTGCTTTAATTAAAAAAGCTGTAATAATATCACTTTCAATGCCATCCCTTTATTTCACTTTCAACTCTGACCCCTATTTCCTTACCTTCAAATCTGCCATCTATTTCACTTTCATCGGTGCCCTCTGGTTCACCCCCAACTCTGCCCTCTAATTCACCTTCAAGTTTGATCTTCATGCAGTTCAGGAACGAATCCCACCGCTTCCAGTGACATTGAGGAATGAACCCCACTGCCTTATGTGAGTTTTTAGACAACAACCAATACGACCTTCAGTCACCACAGTCACCTGTTATATATGATATTAAGTTAAGGGTAGTTCAATAGACCGTGGCCACGAAAATTAATCTAGTTAGGTTGAAATTCCTAGCTAAAGCTGTAAATAGTAAAACCTGTAAAGCGAAGTGTAAATTGGAACTGTTTCATTATTTGACTGTCAGCAATTATCGACAATTTGCGGCCACCTTGTGTTTAATTTTGGGAGTAAGCAATTTAGAAAAGCATTATGAAGTCAATATTTAGAAAATAGAAAAATGAAAATTTTCAGTAAGCATTTTCAGCTTAAAATTTATCTAGAGCTAGCCGTAGATAAGATTAACAAATGTAAAGTTGGGGAGGGTGGAATATTCTTTTGGAATTTATAACTGGAAGGGTATACGTGGACAATTTATACAAAAGTACAAGAATAGGTAAATTTTGAGACAAACCTGAGACGAAAGGCGAAAGTAGAATGGAAAAGGTTTGAAATTAGTAGGTGGTCAGTTTAAAGTGGAGAGTTGAAATGCGTCGAGATAGCTCGAAAACGAGGAAAGGATGGTCGGATATTCAAGCAAGCGATGAAAGTATGCAAATTTGGTATAAACCAGGTATAAGAGAGAGTCTTAGGGTAGCGTATAAAATCTACTATAAATTACTTACCCTCATCAGCAATGACGATAATAAAAAACAAAGGAAAAACAACATTTCTATGTATTTTAATACATAACTTGACATTTTAATGAAGTTCATGTTTTACATAATACTTTTACATGTAATTGATCTCGATTCTTACATTATTATCACAATATATAACTTAATGAGTCTAATATAATCACCTGACTTACCTGGAAGTATTCGGCACGACGAAATTATCAATAAACATACAGAATACAGAGTGCTTTTCAAGGAAATAAAGCGAAATAAATTAACGTTTAAATTTGAATTCAGATTAAGGCAGAATATTACTTCAGATGCAAAATTTTAATTAACGACTGTATTAATGAAATCACTAATTTGTTGCGGAGCCTTTTACGACGATAAAAGACAAATTCCGCAACTTTTTCCTATACCATTATGAGGGGCCTTTTTAGTAATGCTTACTTCCCGTTAACGTTTTAATTAATTTTCTATTATCGTTCCAAGTACAATTATATTTTCCGTTGCGATTCTGAATAACTCCATTCGACGCTATTGTACTACGTCACATTATCCGTAATCCGGCATTATGGAAAAATGTTCTGTATAAAATATCGCGAACCCGATTTTTGGCCAGTCTATTGATTGAATAATTTTCTCGTTTATTATCGTTTTATGTTGGATTTAAGCTCCACTCAGGATAACATTAAAGTGTCAAAAGAATACATATTTCATTGGTCGTTGTCGTTACACGAGTGGTTGTTAAACTTTTTAAATTGACCGTTATTGGAAAAATTTTAATGTTTATATACTGTTATGGGACAACCTGAATCATTCCGTGTGCGTATCTGCATTTTGTGGCCCTTTAAAGAGCGCAATTAGAATTTTATTGGGATACAGCCTAGCACCTACACTGTCGCTACCCCTTTAAACTACAGAATTGTATTTCAGGAGGAGAAAGGATGCGGAAACCAAAAAGTGTAATACTAATTTATCTAGCTAGAACAACGCGGTTTGTGTAGAAACTTTGCGAAAAGTTTGATGTTAGTTTAATTGAAAGAGTTATTTCAATAGCACATTTGAAATTATGATGAGGGTTGCATATGGCCGACGGATATGGCTAATTTATAATTTAGTATTGCCTCACCTCTTTGGAAAAAAATATAACGCAGTTATTTCGGCAGTCATACAACTTATATAAGCTTGTATGTGCCATGAATCTGGAAGTTTTTTAAAAAAATATATATTGCCATTGTTTGCATGAATCGTATAGGGGTACATTGTTTTGAGTATTCTGATTTGTCTACAGATAAAAAAAAGAGTCGTAAAAGACCAACAACAAGAATTTCCTTCTAGCATTTTTTTAACGGTTCGTTAGTAACTCTTTTTTGATTAATGATGAACAGTATGAAATGAATAAAGTAATGAAAGGTCGAATGAAAAGTGTAATTTTATTTAGTGCAAGTAGAAGACGAGGGTCTCACTTTAATAAATAAGATAGTAATTGTAATTATCTTCCCATCACTTTGAATGATTTCCCACGCGAGTCGCGCTTTCAACCAAAGTAGTTGTAATCAATCAAAGTTCAGGAACATAAAACAGAAAAGCACACTGCATGGAAATGCATAAATATCAGACAAGGATGGCGAAAGCAGGTGACTACATTATCAATAGGAAAAACTTGCTTCTGCAAACAGTCTAAAAGTCATTGTCTCTCTTTCTGTTTAAACGCTAAGTACACAAATTGTCCCTTATTAGTGGTTAAAAATAAATCAACTTTTCGATCGTTGCATTATTTCAAAAGGAGTTAGTTCGTGCAGTTAGTTCCACTGTGGCACAAGTTTAGAAGCACCATGATTAAAAATGGGGGAAAACTTACAAATTTAACAGCAATCCAGTTTGCACATTTCCACCTAATACATCAATCGGCACAAAGAATGTTCACCAATTTAAATTAACTAACCGTCTGCGTTGACCACCGAAATAACACTAGAACGAAAGATGTCTGCGTCAGTAACCCTGATGATAATAGGTATCGTTGACCTGTAACAAATAAACTCGTTAGTTACTCCGCATATATTCAGTCTTATCACACATTCATTTGTTATTAGGAAAAGTGAGTCAGTTTCGTTACCGTATACGACAGTGAAGTAATTTTGTACAAGAAATTTAGTAAAGCGCACCATAAAATATAATGGAGAAGTACTTTAGAAAATGATTTTTCTTATGCGAAAGACACGTAGGAAAAGAGGTCGTGTCTCAATTTTTCATTTAATTATGTAGTCATAACGTAATTAGTGTTGCGAATTTACGTCTTTTAATCATATGCAAAATTAAATTAATGTTAATTGCATTGATAAATGTTACCTCTGCTGCCGCTTCGGAGAGAAATTAATTGTCTACGTCTTCCTGAAGATGCTCTGAATTGTAATTTTTCATTACTGTGAACTACTGAACACTTTGTCAGACATGCAATGGTTCCATTCTTTATGAGTGTACACCACGTTTAATATTAATGTAACAAGTGTGTTTTAGATTTACTCAGATTTTCCCTCAGGTTTGCTATTTTTTCTCACGGACCTTTTGCAGTTTTGTACTATACGGATGTAGATGGAATAAAAGAAAACAGTTTAAGGTCCAAAGTTCTACATTTGGGGGCTTCTACGCTCCAAAAGTTTCATGTTTAATTTCAGCCCAAAGAGGGGTAGAACTCACGACTTTACTCGGATGTTTGAGTATTCCTTTTAAAGCTTTGCAAACAAACATTTCCAAATTCATACCCTATGACTAAGAGTTTATTGAAATAAGTTTTTCTTATCAAAAACACCACATTTCGGTGGATTTGTTTCGCACCCCCATTTCAGAAGCACAGAATTAACTTGTGTCCTCAACAATTCAATAAAGGCATTGATAATAATAATGACTATTATTAATCCTAGCTGCAGTTGATTGAATGTACATTTTTGAACCGGTGTCTGTTTTGGTCGTTTCATTGTAGAGGTGGAAAAGAATCGAGGGTTCAAAATATCATTAGCCACAACCATTTGTAATACGTGATCTCTTTAGGTTTTATTTGTTTATTTATTGTCCCTCTCTTGTTCAGGGTCCTGAACAGGCTTTAGACCAAATACAGAGTGACCCGCATAATGCTTTTTAGAGGTGTTTTAAAGATTTTCAAAGTTGTCAACCATCTTCCGAAATTCATTTTTAACGAGTAACCAAATTTTACCTGTCGATACAATATGTCCGATTGTATTGTACAAGGCGTTCGACTATTCAATTTTCCAAACTGCTGCTACAAAGGAGAAAATCAACTGTTGATTGGAGGAACTTTTGACTAATCGATAAATGTAAGTTATTTTAAATTTTTTGCATTGCATAACCATAGGAGTCGAATTTTTTAAATTTTGTATAAAATACTTGTTTAACTTCATTCTAAAGTGGTCGACTCATGAAAAAATTTATGTAATTTTTACGAGATTTTTTATGAATGACAAGTGAACTCGATATTGGTATTTTTTCTCAATAATTGTGAATGTGAATTTTTAGTTCACTAATACCATTCTTTTGTGTGGGTTTAATTTTATTTAGCATCCAGAGGTGTGTAGATTTATTTTTAATGGAATTTTGTACCAGGGTTTGATTAATTTCGCATATTAAAAAATCCAGGTAATTCGTTACATTGGAAACGATTAATACGAGTATTTATTTGAGGACGATTAAACAAGAGCATCAGGTTTTAATTTGCAGATTTATAAAGTGGGGATAAAAAACCAACCTTCCGCAAGGTAGATTCATTGAAAATTTACCGCGCTAGTAGTGGTATTAATTATTTCATTACAAAAAATTAATTGTTACAGTAGGTAAAATATTGGCAAACCCCTTATGTATGGTACATAATTTCCAGCGGTTTCCACCCAACTACAGGCCCTTGCAGTAAAAAGTTGTAACGGAAACTCTTTATTGAGGTTGACTTAGTTTTAATTTTTTAACATTAAGTAAGTATATGGCACATTAGTGTAGGCGTGTTTTTATGAGATTTTAGTAGTTTGGGTGATTTTTTAGGCTGATTTATCAAGTTATAGTGCTCAGCTTTAGAAATTGACCTACATTTTGCGGGTCGTGGGTTTCCGGATGCCTGGGAAAAGCTATCGGTGCCAGTCTGACGGAGGGTAACACGATCTTGGTGTGTTTTAGGTGCCCGGAACAGCTAAATCAAGATTACTCATGGTGATATCGTGAAGTATCGTACCTAATTTGTTACGGTAATCACAAATTAAGGTGTCATTAAGGTGTAAGTGTACTTATTTAAATTACACCAAATCCAATTTCAAATAATTAAGTTATCTAGAGGTATGAAATGAGATGGAAAAGAAATCAACCCCCTAAAAAATTTCCATTAAAGAACTCCTGTTACACAAGTTGATCCCATTGGTACCAGTCCCCACACAATCTTTCCACCATAAATTCGCCGCAGTAATAAAATTGACATTGAATGTAAATCTTCTTCGAATATTGTAACGATTACTCATTCAATATTTTCCCCATTTAAATATTCATTTTTGAAACTGTTTATGCTGTCGGTATATTTTTTCTGTAAATTCGCTGTAGTTTTGAGGTATGGGTATACAGTTCATTTCGTAGTTCATTATTCTGCCACTAGAGGTCACGCAAAGTATCTTTCTGTACTTGAATAACATTGATCTTTTGCTTGCCCAAAACGGATCCTGTAGAAGAACGAGAGTTGTTGCGATTGTACACAACACTGACATTTTTTACTCGTTCTTTCGAAGTTCGGGTCTAATTCTGATTGGAGAGAAGAGGACGAAATTATTTAATAGTGGAAGTGGGGTTTCCTTTACAATACCCGAGACAACGTGTAAACGGGGCTGCTGCTTTAACTTCCGAGACGGTTCAAGAGTATGTAAATTTGTTTGCGCTAAATCTTGGGCGATTTGACCCTATCAAGACGCAGTTCGTCAATATCGAAATTAAGTGTTAAGCAATATTAATAAAAATTATCGTCAAGCGAAGTTAGGAACAGTTTGTTGAAAGTTTTAAAAACGGTTTGTGCGTATTCAGAAAAACATAGTTCGAGTGTGAGTAAACAAAGCAGTTGTCTGCTTGGTGAACGTTAAAGTTTCTACCGTCCGAACAGCCACTGAAAACTTTTTCACCTTATTTATCAAGCCAGTTAAGTTCAATAAAGAAAATGTGAAGTTTCCTGAAGCTCTTAGTGAGTACACTTGTGTCTTTGATAAGTTTGCATATCGCAAACCTTTTACGACCAGATTATTTAGATTATTGGGAAAAAAACTGTAGGTAATTCTAAGATTTTTTATACATATTTTAATTGTCGACCGCTTGCGTGCGAAGTGGAAAGTCCAAACAAGGGATACAGGTTTTCCTTTATCTCAGGGAATTGTTTTGATTTTGTTTCATGTGTTCCGGAATAAGTTTTTTTTATTGTCAATAAATTAATTACGTTATGTTTCAATTTTGATGTATTTATTTATTTTTATTTATTGTCTCTCTTGTTTCCTTTTGGAGATTATGATTAACTGTTGAACTGTTTCGGTATAACTTATGATATCGTTTCGACACCGAGACTTGCGATTTTATGTGTGTTAATTGTTGTCGTTACCAAGGATTAATTCGTGCTAGCTTAATTATCTTTCTAATTCTTGAATTTAGTTTAGTTGTACGGAGATAATTTGAATTGTAAATTAATTTCCTGACATTAAGTTATGTTTAATCTTATACATTGCCGTTTTGTATCGACAACTCGTCTTCAAATCAAAATTTTGCTTTTGCTATTTAACGTTTGAATTATTGTTTTTTTTTGTTGTATGCTCGTTTGAATGTTATCACGATTTTTAGTATTCGAGTTATCGGATCTGTGTCAAACGTTAAGTTGGGTCTCGCATATCTTGTATGACGTACTGTCAATACCCTTCTATTTCTGTTTTTGTGTTATATCTGATTGCAGATTTTATGGCAACAGCACCCTTCTGAGCGCAGTAAGGCTGTGGATAGAGTTCTAAGGCAATATATTTTATTTTCGTCGATATTCTTGTGGAAGCTTAATTTCGATATTTGTGATTTTTCTGACTACGAGTTGATTCTTTTGGCAAATTAATTTTGGATCTAAATTATCATAATTATCTTACTAAGTCAGATTCATATAATTGGATTTCTATTTGTAGGTATACCATTTATTGTATAATTATCATCGATTTTGACTACTCGAGTGACTACAATAATTGTTTCTACCCTCTCAATTCCTGTGCCCCTTTAGATTTATGAAGACCAGAAAAAGTATCACTACTTGTTCCCTCTCAGTGAGTTCTCTCTTTTTGTTTAAATTTATTGTAAGTGGCAAGTACGGATCGTAACCGACTAGTGGACTAAGTAGTATTGATATTCCACGGAAGGGTTTGAGGGCGCAAAATTATAAGTTAATGAATATGGAGCGCCGAGTATGAAAGATTGAGTCGCCGACGTAAAAAGTATGTAAGTACTAGCGCTTCAGACGTCATTACCGATGTATTTATATAGTGAATATAAAGTATGCACGCTTGAGAACCGCTTGTTGATTTTAGCGTTTAAATATCTCGAGACTATGCAACATACACTTTAATAACACATTTAACTGTATTACAATTAGCTCCAGTAGGATTTTCCAGATGTTGACTTGTAATTCAGTCTAAAGACGACACAGCTTCTGCAAGCGAGTGCATTAAAATCAAATGTATTCACGACATACGAACTTAATTTTAGTTTGTACAGTGTTATTAATCTAAATTTGCATGCCCGTTCATTTAATTATAAGATAATATTCGTCCAAGTGATCGTATTCAATCAAATCAACATAACTAGTAGAGTAATTTGGTTCTCTAAAATTTATCAATAATGCAGTAATTAATCGTCAAAAAATGAAAAGGGTGGTTTGATGTAACCGTAGTCGCTCCAAATCTATTGTCTTATTTGGAATTTTATCACCAAGGAGTAAACCAAAGACGCGAAAACGTAAAATCTAACCC